TTTTTAAAATATGAAAAATACTTCCTTTTTAATTTGATCACTGAAATATGGACTTGCTATAAAATTAAACAGAACATGGAAAAGAGGATTACTGTATTCCACTCGGAGGTGAGGTCATTTTCTCTTCAATGCCAAATAGGACTGCCCCTTCTCAGCTGTCATTCTTCTTGACTCCTCTGCAACCTTTGACCCCGCAGACCATCCTCTCTCTCTCCTGAATAGTCTTTCTGCATGGACGTTTATTACATTTCATTCTCCCGGTTCCTCTTGCCTTTCAGTTGCTCCTTCTATTCTCTTTGTCGAATCCACTTCCTATAGGTAGGGGTGCGCCTCAGGGCTGTCCATAGCCCTATCTTCTTTGCTTTTGTTTGGCATTCAATATGCATTACAATCTGAACCCAATCTATTATTATTGGGCATTTATAACAAGCATTTGCATAGTGCTTTAAAGTTGACAGGATACATATATTATCTCATTTGAGCATCACAACAACTGTATGCTATAGGTACTATTATGATCCTCATTTTATTAATGAAGAAGGTGAAGCCAGAGTGCTCAGTGACTTATGTAGGGTCACACAACTAGGAAATATTTGAGGCAGAATTTGAATTCAGTATGTCCTGACTCTAAGCAGAGTAGTCTCTTCCCAGTGTCTGGGTAGCTGAACGATTCTCCTTTATATATTTTATATCCCAAACAAACTTATACTTGCTGCTTCATGCATATAACCATTAACTTCCTGCCTCTATATCTTTGAACAGGCTTCCCCTAATGTCTGGAATTCATTCACTCCTCACCTTGGCTTGTAGACATCCTAGCTTTATTCAAGGCTCATATCACATGCTAACTCCTAGGTAAGGCCCGCTCTGATTCTTCCCTGTTCCTAAAACACTCTCCTCCAGCGCTTGAATTAATTTATCATTACTTTGCACATCTTTTTCATTTAATTATTTATGTTCATGCTTTTCCTCCCAAAAGAATATAAGCTCCTTGAGGGCAGGTACAATTACATTTTTGTCTTTGTATAGACAGCAGCCAGAACAATATTTAGCTTAACACGTAGTAGGTCTTGCCAGAATTATCAGAATGTAGTTTATATTTAGCAGGTCTCAGGTGGTTAAGGTAGGCATAAATGGGTCTTTATATCTCTTTCTAATAACAGGGCATAGGATAAGGAGAAGACCAGGGTTCTAATCTCTCAGGGCTTTAATTTTTGAATATATAAAATGGTGACAGTAATATTTCCAGAACTATCTAATGAGATAATTGCAAGGAAAACACGTTATAAACCTTCAGATCCTATATACAGATTATGTTATTTTATATTTTTAGAGCAAGCAAAAGGTGCAAAGATACTAATAGTAGTTGATATTTATGTAATTCTTTTAGCCTTTGTAAAGCATTTGTAGGAATTTTTCCATGTGAGCTTCAAAACTACTTCATGAAGCAGGTATTACAAGTACTATTGTTATCATTATGATCATTATTCCCATTTTACATATCAGAAAACTAAGGTCCAGAGGTTGAATGATTTGCCCTTGGTCTGAAGGCTAAGTATCAGAGTCAAGATTCGAACTTATGTCTTTCTTATTCTAATCTAGGATACTATCCTCTACCTTACAATTCGTCACTTAATGAACATACAGACTTTGAATCTTGTGTGGTGCAATATTCCTGAATATACAGAGCCCACTGCATACAGATGAACTTCAGAACAGCTCAAACACTTATAAACTATAACCTGCATTCCTGAAGGAGCATAGGAAGAATCTTCATATTTTATTGCCAATTTTAATAAAACCAAATAATTCAAGTACAAATACCAGATTTTTATGAAACATAAGAAAATGTAAGGGAAAACAAAATGTTAAAAGATCTTTTAATATTTGGTCTTACCTAAATGCCAGTCTCAGGAAGAAGGGACAGACCACATAATTTTTTAAAAATAATTCTTCTAGGGGCAGCTAGGTGGCACAGTGGATAGAGCACCGGCCCTGGATTCAGGAGTACCTGAGTTCAAAGCCGGCCTCAGACACATAACACTTATTAGCTATGTGACCCTGGGCAAGTCACTTAACCCCATTGCCTAGCAAAAAAATTAAAAAAAAATAATTCTTCTGACTAGTTGACTAGCTTAAGTCTGAGGCTAGCAGGCCTGGAGGATTTCTCTTAATTCTGTTGGTATTTTCTGTTCAGAAGTATGAGCTTGGCATCTGAGAGATTAGGGCCCTAAAATGATACTGCTCAAAGGTAAAGCCTCTGCTCAAAGAAACATCTCTCTGCTCTATACTCCTATATCATCCAAATAAGATCGGCTAAATTTGTTAAGGTATGCCTGAGAATTGGGACCAGAATGATTTAGGACGTGTTGACTTGCCCTTTACCTAAAGGGGTCAGGGATCCTATGACATGTTTTTTATCACCCAAGGCCATATTAGTGTACGTGGGCATCTTCTTTCCTAAGTAGAAAGGGAAAGAGAAAAGGATGTAAGAAAAGAGGCAGGTGTGAGATTCTAGGAGAAAAGAAAGGATAGGGAGGGAGATTGTGGGAGAGAAAAAATATAGGAGAGAGAGAAGACATTATAATATAATAGGAGAAAGATGAGGGAGGGGGGAAAAGAGAGGTAGAGAGAGAGGAAAAGAGGAAAGAGAGAGAAAGAGAGAGAGAGAGAGAGAGAGAGACAGAGACAGAGAGAAGATGGGAAAGGGGGAAAAGAGAGGACAGGGAAGGAAGGAGGAAAAGAGGAAAAAAGGGAGAAGAGGGATGAAGAGGAAGAGAGAAGGGGAGAATGAGGAAGAGTTGGGGGAAGAGGGAAGGAGAGAAAGAAGGGGAGAGGTAGATGAGGAAGAAAGACAGGAAAAAGAAGAAGAGGGGGGAGGGAATAAAGAATGAATCTACTTGGGACATTATAGCATATCTTTTTGACTTACTATAGTTTTTATAGTAGCAGAATTAATATAAATGTATACTTAGTGGTACAACTTGCCACTGAAATAAATTTTTTACTAGAAATAATTCTCACTATCAGTGTTCCTTCACCAAGTAAGCTAAGGGCTTTGTTCTTCCTTGGATCTTATAGAACACAATACCATGTCCACTGAACATCTAATGAACCATTCAATAAACTTGCATGAGCACCTATTATAATATATAAGGCCCTGTGCTAGGTGCTGGATAAAGGGAAGACAGAGCCCCACTCCCTGTTCTCTAGGTGCTTACAATTTAATGAAGGAATAAAAAGTTGATATATAGCAGGTAAACAAAGTCCTGTGGTACAAGACAGCATGGGATAGGGCAAAGAGGAGATCAAGACAAGACAGAGTGAGGTAAGCAATTTAGAGTGGAAGAAGTCACTTTCATCTAGGGAAAATCAGGAAAAGCTTCATGGAAAAGCAGGTGAATGGACTGGTCCTTGAAGCATTTCAACAGAGGGACATGAAGAAAGACAGTTTTCCCAGCACAGAGGGTGGCCTGTGTGTGTGACTACAAGGAAGGTGGGTGAAAGCAGTGATAAGTCTCAGCTGGCAGTCCACCTGGTAGACTCATTGCGTGTTCGAAGTACAATAGTCTGAAATGAACCTGTAAATGCAGGCTGAAGAGAGATCATGGAGTACCTTATATTCCAAGCTAAGGAGTTCTCATTTTATAGACAAATGATGAATAGCCACTGAAGGTTTTTAAGGAATGTAGTGACAAGGTTGGATTTATGCATAAGGGGGAGTGTTCAGGCATCTGTGTAAAGAATACTCATGAGGAAGGTATTAGGGAGTTGTTGTTCAGTCATTTTTAGTCACGTATGACTCTCCATAATACTCTTTGGTGTTTTCTAGGCAAAGATACTGGAGCGGTTGGCCATTTCCTTCTCTAGCTCATTTTATAGAGGAGGAAACAGGAAAACTAGGTTAAGTGACTTGCCTAGGGTCACAGAGCTAGTAAGTGTCTGAGGCCAGATTTGAACTCAGGAAGATGATTCTTCCTGACTTCAGGCCTGGTGCTCTATCCACTGGGCAACCTTGCTGCCCTGTATTAGGGGGTAGCACAGTAGAAATAATGGAAGGTCAGAACAAGGTGGCACAGGATTCTAGGGTAGAGAACAGACCCCTACTTAAATGGTTGACAATAGGTTAAGAATATGGACTGAGAGAACCGAAGCTCCAACAGGGATGATGTTCTTGGAGAATAGAGAATGATCAAAGGATATTATTGAACAAATGTCATTATGAGGGTCAGTAACTTCAAGCAGAAGGAGGCAGTGGGAGAATTATCAGGGCAAAAAATTTTGATAATAAAGCAGAATTTCAGAGTTCCTGCTTCTGGTTTCTGTCATCCAATCCATCCTCCACACCACTGCCAAACTGGCATTTCTAAAATACAGATAAGACTATGTCACTTCCCTGCTCAAACATCGTCAATGGCTACATATTGTTTAGAGGAGAAAGCACACAATCTCCAGGCTGGCATTTAAAGCCCTTTACAATATGGATCCATCTACCTTCACAGAATTATTTCTTAGTCCTTTATCCCCTTCCACAGACTCTGTGTTCCAGTTAAACTGGTCTGCGAGCTGTTTCCCATGCATAACACTACATCTTTCTGCTCCCCACAGTCACAGCTGTGGTCATACAAGTCTCTAAGGCAGCCTATCCTCATTTCTACCTCTTAACATCCCATCATATGATATCTTCAGGGAAAAACCTGGCTGCAGCGAATGGAGCAATGGGTGTGTTTTCTGTGGAGGCATTTTCTTATTCTCTCTCTTCATATGTAGTTCCCTTCGGTTTCAGAACCATTCAGTGAGAGTGGGAATTATTTGCATAGCTAACCATGGATTTAGTGAATATGAAAAGACAAAGCCAGAACTAATTTTAGGAAGCATATTATGAGATTAACTATTGGATAAAACAGAATACAGACACACACACACATACACACACAAAATCAAATGATTAGTTTATTCTGTAGTTTTTGAAAAGAAATCAAGAGAAAAATTATACTCACATAAGGAATAGTATCCAAAGTATCTGTGTTGACAATAATAGGAGCAGGGCTGGCCTAAAAAAAGGGGGAAAAAGAAAACACTTAAAATACTGAATCTTCTACTCCAAACAAAGGCTAGGTTGCTTACATTTCTTTCTTACCACATTTAAAATAAAATACCATGAGTGTGAGAAATAATACTTTCCTGTGAATTTCCCCTCCCTTCTGCAGAGTCCTATCACATCCTCTGAGATTTGTGCTGTTCTGGAAAAGGACCATTCTGGGAATTTGAATAAGAGATAACATTTCTGACTTTTTTTCCCCCTAATAATAACTGTTTTACAGTAGAAAATGCAAACAACAAGGAAATTGGCACAATTAAACCATGCCTGACATTTATAAAACTCGTCTTTCATTCTGGCACTGTTGACCTTTAAGGGATATGTACTTAACAAGAAATGTTCTCATGAGCAACTTAATGGATCATTTTGTTTGATGACCTAATTCAGTCCTCAACAGCTTGAGCTTTAGCACGTGCCAAAGGTACAGAGCTCATCTTTGCAATTGCTCTTTTTGTTCCTGATATATATACAATTCCTCTCTCTCTCTCTCTCTCTCTCTCTCTCTCTCTCTCTTTGAGAAAGCACACAATCCCCAGGAGATTTTATATATATATATATATATATATATATATATATATATATATATATATATATATATATGTATACACACACACACACACACATATAGTATATGTATATATAATATATGTACATATATTATATATAATATATATACATATATTATATATAATATATATACACACATAAACTATATGTATATACACATATGCATAAACACTCATACGTGCATATATGTCTACACATAGTTAGTTTAGACTATGATTTCATCAGTTTGGTAGTACTTCTGGTGTGGCAATTTCCTTCACTGTTAGGGGTCTGGAACTCTTCTGTAACTTTTTTTTTCTTTCTGGTGATTGGAACTCCTTTTCTCACTGGCCTGACCTTCACTCATGCCTGACCCTACTGCTGATGAGCTCTGAAACTCTGACATGCTTAGGGCTAGTTCATTCTTCCTTAGATTGCCTTCTCTCCCTCCTCTTCCCACCCACCCATGATGGTGGCTCACCATATTGGTGTCAGACCTAGTCCAGACACCTGGTAGCTTTAGTCCTGCTCCAGAGACTCAGGATTTCTTAAGCAATCTACGAGCCTTACACTCCCCTGTATCAGAGATTATAGGTGTGTACCACCACATCTGCTATAATAATTTTAAAAAATAAATTTCACTGATATATTTTGTTTTTGTCACCCACATTTCTCAGTGTAGTTGTATCCCCTGCCAGAGAGCCAACTTTTATAACCAAAAATACAAAAGAGGGGGAAATAGTTCAGCAAAACTAACCAACATAGTGAAAAAATCTGATATAATATGCAATATTTCACACCCCTAGTTCCTTACTTTTGCAAAGCAGGTGAGGGAGGAGCCGTTTCACTTTTCTTTGTTGATATTGTCTGTAACTTAACAGTCTTAGTAGGTTGCCTAGGGTCACTGATACGTTAAATGACTTGCCCTGAGAACTAGTGCATGTGACAAGCAGCATATAACCCAAGTCTTTCTGACTCCAAGATTGAACCTTTAGTCACTGGGCCATGCTGCTTCTGGTTCTGTAGGATATTAAAAATCAATCTAATATGATCTAAAATAATGCTCAGCATGCTATGCGTTTCTTCATGCAAACTCTCATATCTCCCATGAAAAGGTAATGTAGAATCTGAGCAAAGCTGATATAGAAGGGTTACAAGCAAAGTCATTAAAAAGTACAAGATGGCAATCTCCATTTGCATTGACAGATCTGGCTTACTGAATATTGAGTAGACAGAGCTTCACTTTGTTGTTTCTAAACTTTTCATTGGGAAGGAGTCACTCATCCCCCAGTGGATCTTCAATCTCCTACCCAAGTTGTAGATTTCATTTAGATAAAGAAAATTGTCTATTCTTTTGACTTATTGGAAATGTCATATAAATCGTAGAATGATTGGCAAGGACATAACTTTGGGGACAGATCATTAACTGAACTCTTTGGAATTAAAATCTTTCCTGTACATACTAACAAAAGCCAAAAGGAACAGGGTAGTAGCCTATGAATTTGAACGAATACCTGGGTTTGCAGTTAGAAATGTGACTTGTGGTAAGTTATTTAATCTCCTCTGGTCTCACTTTCCTGATTTGTAAAATAAGGGTGACAAACTAAAGGATCTCCATGAAATCTCTTTCTATTATGCGTTTTGGCACTGGTGATATCAGCTGTGTGACCATAAGCTGGTTCCTCAATCTCCCTAGGCTTCATTTTGCTGAACTGTACAAATGTGGTAGTTGGATTTTATTGTGATCTCCGACTTTCCTTCTAGCCTCAAACTACTGATCTTCTGCCCCTTAATGTTTATGCCTCAGTGAAAGTTCATGCATCAGCCAAAGACCAAGTTCATATTTCAGTCGAAGGTGTAGGAAATTAGCACTTACTTTTTGTCCCTGAAAGTATTTCCAACTTGGAAATTAGCAAACTGTGCTAATGATCTACAGTGGGTAGCTAATTGTAGATAAACAAGATATGTGACATACTGTATTTCAGCCGAGAGACTTTTATGGCTCTCAGGGGGCAGAGAGTAAGAGAAGTCAGCCAGAGAGGATAGAGAAGGGAATAGCATAATTCCTTGTTAAAGAGAACAAACTTCATCAGAGAGTAACAGAGTCTTTTCAGGGAGATTGACAAGAGCTTCTAAAAGATTTATTTTCCAGGAATCTCTCTCTCATCACATGACTGTCCTGCTCAAAAACTCACCATGGCTCCTTATTTTCTACAAACCAAAGCCGAAGTCTTCTTTCTGACTTTCAAAGCCTCCTAGACCACAGATTCAGGGAGAGCCAGTACTATGTCCTGTCTACATGTTGTATGTATCCCCATGGTGCCTAGCACAATTCCTTTCTTACTTAATAAATGACTGCTCATGTTACTTAGTCTGCCTCCACTACGCCAATTCATCTTGGATTTTACTCTCTTTGAATGCCTCCTCCACTCTAGTTGGGCAGTCTGGATGCTTTCTGCTTTCTACACTTATTCCCACTTTTATGCCTTTGCATATGCTCTTACCTCCACATTGAATACCCTTTCTTCTCTACTTTTTTTCTAAATCCTTCCAGTCTCAGCAGAAGTTCCACCACCTCTAAAAAAACCTCCCCTGCTGACTCCAGCCCCCACCAGGGACCATTTTCCTTTGAACTGCTATCACACTTTCAGACATAGTCTAAAGCTATATGCCTTTTCTACAAAGCTTTTCCCCAAACACAGGCTCCATCTCCACACTAAGAATGTAAACTCTGCATGGGAAGGGAAATGAAATACAGCATAGTGTTCTATAAATGCTTACACAACCACTCAATCGATAAGCATTTATAAGCATCAACTGTTTGTGAGACAGTGCAACGTATTGGAGGTATAAAGGCCAAAAAAATGAGCACTGCCTCCAAAAAGACACATTTTTAAAAAATAGATATTTATACATATTATCTATCTCTCTAGATTAGATCTATAATGTCATCCCTACATTTATTTATATTATTTTATTTAGATATCTATGTCTATACATGTATATATGCACGTGTGTATATAAGTGTGTACGTGTATTTGGACAAGATGAGAATAGGAACTCTGGATGACAAGTTCTAGAGAGCTGCCTAAGGCACTGAGACATTAAATGATTTACTCAAGGTCACATAGCCAACATGTGTCAAAAACTGGACTTGAACTCAGATCTTCCTGACTCCAAGGCTGGTTCTCTATGCACTACATCTTACTACCTCAGTTCCATAAAATATACGCAAAATAAAATAAGGTGATTTTAGGAGCTGGATACATACAACCAGTAGCAAAAGTAACACTTGAATGGAAGCCTGGTCTCAAAGGGGATGAAAGATGTATAGAGTCTAAAGAATAATATTAATCAAAGACCAAGTATGGAAGCAGGGAGGCTAAATTTTTTAGAAATTCAAGGGGCCTGACCTGGCTGCAATAAAGTTAAAATGAGGTGGAAAAATTAAGGTTAAATTGTAGGTTATGTTGAGGGTATTTATAGAAAGCTATACATTACCCTTATGGGAGCTGTGAGCCTGGAGGAAATCAGGAGAACATGTATTTTTCAATTGAGAGTATAAAGTACACTTTCTATAGTACAGAGTGTGCCAGTTGTTCTGCCCCTAAATCTAGGGCTTGTGATTTTCAAGACAATCTCTATGGGACATATTCTTTCAATTACAACTGCCCAAGTCTCTAACACACACAAAGAAAGGAAGGGGAAGCATCTACATAATTAGGAAAATGACTACACTCCCAAGATAGAAGCCACAGTACCAACTCCTGAAATTCTGAAAGTGCTATGAAAATGCTATCATCCTCATCCTCATCCTCATCCTCATTCTTATCCCCAAAGGTCATAGTGATAGGTAAGAGAGATTCAAGAGGGGAGAGTCTCTTGTTCCTGACAGTGGGAAGCAATGATGATGTCCCCTCCTTTCCTTTTCCACACAGCTTCCCTCCCTCCCTTTTCCTTCTCTCTCTCTCTCTCTCTCTCTCTCTCTCTCTCTCTCTCTCTCTCTCTCTCTCTCTCTTTCTGTCTATCTCTGTCTCTCACTCACATATATAGTGAAATGTGTAGTAGAAAGAATAGTTGACATGGAGCAAAAAAAAATCCTAGTTTCTCCTGGTTTTACAATTTATAGTATAAGATGAGTAACTTTGCCCAAATCTCTTCTACCCTTTAGCCTTCAGTTTCCTCACTTCAGATGAGGGGTTGGAATGCATGATATATAGTGTCTGTTTTTCCAGCACTTACACACTAGGGTTCTAAAGAGATAGCTTCAGATGCAGAGGCCTCTACAGAATCATAGATTCTCAAAGTTGGGAAGGATTTTCAGAGGCCAGGGAAACCAACCCTTTCCTGATTGAATAATGTGCCCTTCCCCACAAAATACATGCATAATCTTAACAAGTGGTCCTA